ATTATGCTAAATAAAATAAGCCAGTCACAGAAAGACAAATAAAACATGATTCTACTGACATGAGTTATCTATAGTCAAATTCATAGAAGCAGAGTACAATGGTGCTTGCCAGGGGCTAGGGAGAGGGCAAAACAAGGAGTTGCTATTCAACAGGAATAGAGTTTCAACTGTGCAAGATGAAAAAGTTCCAGAGATCTACTGTACAGCAATGTGCATACAGTTAATGATATGGTTTGGCTGTGTTCCCACTCAAATCTCTTCCCACGTGTTGTGGGAGAGACCTGGTGGGAGGCAACTGAATCATGGGAGCAGTTATCTCCATGCTGTTCTCATGATAGTGAGTTTTCACGAAATATGACGGTTTTATAAGGGGCTTTCTTCCTTTTGCTTATTCTTCTACTTCCTGCCATCATGTGAAAAAGGATGTGTTTACTTTCCCTTCTACCATGAATGTAACTTTTCTGAGGCCTCCCCAGCCATGCTGAACTATGAGTCAAATTAAATCTCTTTTCTTTATAAATGACCTAGTCTTGGGTATGTCTTTATTAGCAGCATGTGAATGGACTAATACAGTTAACAAGATTGTACTGTACACCTAAAAATTTGTTAAGAGGGTAGAACTCATGTTACATGTTTTTTACCTCACACCCATAAAAAAGAAGTACCCAGTTATAGAAACTGTCTTAAAAGACTCTGAAGGCACATGGATAAAATACTTGAACTTAAGTTGGAGGATAACCTTTTTAAGGTTAAAGAATTCTGAGCATCTGTTAATCTTCCCTCAGAAACAAATATACTCCAATACCCAACCATAAAGTCCATGTTAAGGGCCCTATGCTATTATTTTTATGATAGTATTTTAAATGCTTAGGAAAAAAAGGCTAGAGTCTGAAATATAAGTAAATTGTTTTTATACTGCAAAAGACATATCTGATACTGCCCATAACAAAAAATAATTTAGCCCACCTTTCAGAAACTTGTCAGAAAATGAAAGTTTAACTTTGGTGCCCTGAAGGAGTTAATGTAACATCTTCCAAAACAAAACTGTGTCTTCTTGCAGTGATAGGCTTGTGGTGTGGCTACAGCAGAAAGCTCTCGTTAACTCAGATCTGTGTAGCTAATGGGTCACTGATAGAAATGTCTCCCCTCACCCCCACCCCAATGTAAATCTCCAGACTACTGAGGAAGAGCAGGGTGAGCAGAGGAGCATATCTGCAGAAAGAAGGCCCCCAATCCAGTAAACTACAGCAACACAAAGATGAAGGTATAGAACTGGGATGAAGGCAGTCCTTTGTCTGTTCAGCATTACATGAATGGAATTTTCTTTAAATGCAAAGCTATTTTAATCGCATTAAACAGAAAACATCCTCTAATGGATTCGAGACTTCTTTGTCTTCTTGAGTTTTGTTCTCAGTTGTTGAAAATCACCAGCATCATTAACATCCCCAATTGTCCTCACAAAAAAAAAAAAAAAAAAAAAAAAAAAAAAAAAAAAGAAAAAAAAAAAAAAAAAAAAAAAAAAAAAAGGACATAATCAATGCATTATAGTGAGAGACCACAAAGGAGAGAGACTAATTCTGATGAGGAATAACAAGCTTCCTGATGACTCTTAATGGTAGTGATGGTGGTGAAGGAGGAACAGGGTTTCCTCAGAGGAAGTGAAGAAGGAAAGGGAAGAGAATGTTTCTGGAATGATGAACAAACGGTTGCAAGGTGGAAAAAAAGAAAAACAAGTTGGGTCAGATTATGAAGGGTACTGAAGAATCTCCCAAGGAGTTTATGCCTTTTCCTATGGGAGCTGGTGGCACAGCTAGTTTCTCAAGAGGGAGTGACAGTTCTCTTGGTAATGAAGAACCTATGTGTCTGCTTCCTCTTTACTAGTTTGCTGCAATCTAATACTTCAGAAATTCTAGTGTTTCGCATCTAAGTGACCACTTAAGGGGCTCTCATTCAGAACAGAGACAAGGGGTTTCTTATTGTTCTAATTTATCTCCCAGTCCTGTGATGTGATAAGAAGCAACCCTTCCTCCCTACTCCTCATGTCAGGAGGTAAAGAGAGTTCCTAAAAGCAATCCTCCTAAGGTAAATGACTAGTATTTATCATTGGATGGTGAAATATTACCTATGTATCTTTGCTTAATGGGATACCAGATGAAACAAAGCTGGAAATGTATGGAAGGCAGTTCTCAGTTATTATATTTGGTATTTTTTTCCTCCCTCAGAGAAGATGGTAATTACATAAGACAGCATGTAGATACTGAAAATTCCTGTGGTGGGCCACCAACAACTTCCTGTGATAGAGAAAAAGAAGCCATGGGAGTCGTATCATTTAAGATATCTTGAAGAAACCTGAATTGTCCTTAAAGGATTGAATGCCTTGGGAAGCAATGTGCCTGCCAGCATTTGATGGGTCCAAGCCTAGGCTGGTCTGTTCCCTGGTGTGATGTGGGAGGCAGTAGAGGGCAATATTTAAGAGCAGATAACCCAGAATTGTTTCAGGCTCTGTCATTTATTTTCTGTATGACCATGAGCAGATTATTTCACCTCTCCAAGCCTTCAGTACCCTCATCTATGTAATAGGGATAATAACATAATACACCTCATATAGTCATTATGAAAAATAAGTGAGAGGAGTTTATGTACTCCAGTTAGCACTGTGCTTGGCACATAACATTCAAAAGAAACCAATAATAAAAATGATTATCACAGTATCATTATAAGGAGAGTGTCAAGGTTAGGATGGAAAGGTGACCTAGATAATCTTTAAGGCCCTTCTTATGCCAAGAGTAAACAAGTTTATATCCTTTACTGATGTCTTATTAGAACTAAGGCTATTATTCTCTGCCTCCAAGGCACCAATTGTGCGCGCATGTGTGTGTACGTATTTGCGAAAGTATTAGCAAGCTGCCCAATAAACAGCACACACTTATAAAAGATATTTAGAGCACACTGCATGCTGTATATTAGAGGTTTGTGGCTAATTCTTGATAGATGGGGCCAGTAAATCCCAAGACCCATTCCCCATCTGGAAACATATCTCTCCCTCAGCACAATAACCAACAAAGCAAATTGCTGTAGAATCAGTTTACCTAGGTGGTTTACCTTCTCTCAGTTTCATGATTAGAAAGTAGAGTGCAATCAAATATTTGAAATGTTTCCACTTTTAGAATAATACTATTTTGCAGGTGGAATCCTATTTAACAGTCTCAAATTCTTCCATGGCAGTTTTAAAGTGTTTCTTAGGGCTTTTGATATTCTTCTAGAGGCCCAAGTAACCATTTCAGACCAGTTTTACAGTATTAAATGACTACTTCCATCAAAATAGCTAACCAACAAGTACTGTAGTGACTTTCTGTCTTGTGCCCCAGGATTGCAAGGCTCTAGTTAGGATCACAATAAAAGATTTGGTTCCTAGATATGAGGAGCCGCCAGCAAATCAAATATCAAAAAGTTTAATAATTTACAAATAAGTGGTGCTCAGATGTGTTCAAAGAACTTCAAATATATAATCTCACTTGATCTTTAACACAGAAATAGGGCTTATATTTTTATCTTCATTTAAAGATAAGGGACAACTTTGAGCTGAGAGATGCTAAGCCCAATGTCCAATGGCTGATAAATGACAGAGCCAGAAGTGGAACACAAGCTTTTGCCTCAGAATCCATGAGTTATTGCTCAATGCTACTCTAAAAGAGCCTTATTTATGCTTAATGAATAGCTCTGTAGAGAATGGCATTCAGTAAGTAATAGATGACCTCAGTTTACCGTAATTCAGGATAATCTTTTCATGATTAGTTTTAAATTTTAGTCAAAGTAGAATAAATGTTTTTATTTTAGATGAAAATATTACATAAAGAGATATATTTATAGCACCATATGTACAATACATAAATCTACAAATACTATGTTGGTCATTACCCATTAGAACTAATGAATAAATACAACCTTATGCAAATGTGGCGCTTAGTTTCCTACTAAGTGAAAAAAAATGACTTAGACTTGAGTAAAATCCTAGGAATGATATTAGATCACTTATTTATTTACAAAATAAAGTAGTTAACTCCATAAATCATCTCCCTCTCTCTCACTTATACCCCCACGACCCTTTAACTATCATACTACAACACGAGTAAAACAGCCTTCCTTCGTCATTTTTCACCAGTTAGTATTCATCAGACATTTTACCAAGAAAGTTATGGCTTGTTATACCTGAGGTAAATTACAGTAAGTTTCTTAGCGGTCAAAATGTACTTAATAGCGAGAGTGAAAGTGCCTCTTGGCTTCCTGCCTATCACAGAGCAGGTAGTTAAATATAGGTAAATAATAAATACACATTCATCTCCTGAATAAAAGATTACAGAAATATCCTCTGCTCTGATCTGACTCCCTTGAAATTAATTTCAGAAAAAAAAATTGGAAATATTGGGTATTTATAAATTGTTCAACCATGTGGTTAAAAACCAAGAAAAATATTTTCTACTACATATACTTATTAAAACGGTACTCACAAAGCAAAATACTTCTTCATATTTTTAGTTTTTCTCTATTATTTTCTTGCTAATACTGATTAACTGTCATTTATTTATGTAGACATGGAATGCCACATTAGTGGGTATTTTTTTTTTTTTTACCAGTTTTATTCGCAACATTTATTTCCTGAGCTTGGTCTATGTAAGACCATAACTAGTGTGAAATTCCTATCAAATGTTTCAACACTCCTGGGACATCTACTACTTTTTGCCAATTTCAGACTTCCTAACCTGCCCCAGCGAGGTCTATCAATTTATCCTTATTATGTGAAGTCTGGAATCTGCCCCAAAGCCTCTTGAGTGTAGCTTTTACTTAAAATGAAGCAAATGCCCATATACTATACAGGGCCTCAACATTTGTTGGTTGCAATTCATTTTCTTATAACCAGTGTACTCGAGATATGACACCATGGTCAATGAATGCTTTCTCTGCTATCATAACGAGTTCCTGTGGGGATTCCACAGACTCACTTTTGGCACATGAGGATTGAATTCCACAGCTCTATGAATGGCCTCTACCGCATTCATCTCTGCTGTGCTCAGCCCCCGCCGAGATGCAGCCTCAGGAGAGAATCTGAAAAGCAGAAAGACAAAAACCATCCAGTTGGGACCACTGCTTGGGCATCAACCTGAAAATATCTAGATATCAAGGGCCCATAAAACCACAGTGAGCCAATGGCATGAGCTCTCCAAACTTCTACTGCATGGAACCTCTGAGTGACCCCTCAGACTGAGGCCGGCAAAAACCCCAGCAGAAGCAGAAAGCGTGCTTGCATTCTAATCATGGCAGGGGTTAAATTCAGCTGTCAAGTCTCTGTCTAAATAGCTAATCTAAATCTTCTACGAGGTACCTGTTCAGGTCAGGGGAAGAGGTAGGACTGACAAGGGCAGACAGTGTAGGAAAAAGAGAAAACTAGGTTACAGAAGAGGGTACTTGGTTAAAAACAGAACTGGGGAGGATTTGAAATGAGGCCTCCCACCCAATGTCAGTGCTGCGATGGAGGTTAAATCGTTGCAGCTTCAGCAGCAGGTGAGTCTGCTTGGGGCCATTCCGGCAGGGGGCGTGTGCATGCCCAAACTGCGGGCGAGACACCTGCCCGAATGAATGAAAAAAACCAGACCATGCAATCTCTTTCTCACCTCACACCCAGGGCTAACTCCAGAGCTGTGCTTGGCAGGCAGACACCACAGGGGAAGCTGTGACAACCCTGGCCCTGCCCTCCCAAGCTGGAGTCACTGTGTAGGGAGAAAAGATGTTGCAGTAGGTACTGGCGATCTACAGGATAAAAAAGAATGAAAGAAAATTACTTCGATCTTGAAGTGCACACACACTTAACAGCAAACCTGTCTGACACAGCAGAAGCTGTTTTCCTGTTCTCTGCTTTCAATGCCACAGAGGGATCGTACCGGGGAAGTGTAAGAGTTTACGAACTCAAAAGTAGTCAAGCCATCTATGCTCTTTTCACCTGACAGGCATCCTTGGAAGCTTATGAAAATTCTATATGCCATAGTCACCTGCCTGAATAAAATAGGCAAACATCCCATTGAGATGGCAACTCAAAGTTAACAGATCCTGGGTCGGGGGGGGGGGGTAGCTAATTTGGAGTCGATGAGGCAAAGGATGAGAGATGACTATCCCCTCTGCCACATTTTACGTGTGTATGACACTACCCAGTCGTGGACTGCTGACAGGAGAGGAATGTGCAAAAAACAAATAGAATGATGGCATTCTGTGTAAGTCCCAAGCAGGTGTTTTGGTATCTACTGTCTCACGCAAAAAAAAGTCATCTCAGAGGTATGGAATTTCAAATAAATCCCTCTTTAGGATTTCTTTACACACCCTTATAATACCCGAGGATATACATTCCCTCCTTCTAATAGTGAAAGAAAACAACAGCAGGTTTTGGAAAATGCATGCTTATAAGCAGGGGTTTCATAGACTAAGAGAAACTTCCAGAGAAAGCCCTGAGAGGCAACACATCTTAATTCAGTCAAGCATTAGTACCACCAAAGTTATTATTCACTTACTTGTCGGAAACAGCCCTTGCTTTGAGCAAAGCAGCTGTGTAGCATATTGTTGCTGACTTTGGTAAGCTTATATCTGTTGGAGAAAAAGAAAGTAGACACGTGTAAGTTTGCAGGTAACAAAGAGCAATAATTTTCAATATACTAGCATTTTAATCACATTTAAGTGCAATAACGTATAAATTAAGAATATTTTAATACATACATTACACAAGAACTTCAGCTATTCCTTACTGTATCAACGTGGCATGTGAAACTAAGGGTAGTTTGTATTTTTGTGAATAACTCATGTCCACCAGGCTGACTCTTAAGCAATCACCTTCTATTTTAAAACACGAATTTTCACGTTGAGTTTGAGCAGAGTATATCTATAAATATATAAATTTAGATATCACATGAATATCCTTGATGTGAAAGACATGAAAGTGTCTTTGTCCCTTACAAAAATTTCTCAATAGGTGTATGAAATACTAATTGAAGAAAAAAATCTAGATTAAAAAAAGACACATAGTCAAATGAGTAATTCTTTAGCGGTCAGAGTTAAACTAAATTTTCTTTGCATTACGTTTCAAGTTTACATTCAATTTTAATAGTGCTTGTTAAAAATGTAAAAGTCAAAGTCAAGGAGATATACATATATATCTAATATATAAATAAATATACATAATTTTTAAAGGGCATATGTATGAAATCTTTAGAAAACTACATAATTTTTGCTCATGCAAATCTATCATAAATCTCCTTTTATATGAAGCCTCATTGGTCACCAGGAAAAACAGTTCATTTCAGTTTGACAAAAATTTCAGAAAGGCCAGGGTGGGAGTGGAGTTTACATAATGAGTTTACAGGAAAGTAAAAGCACAGAGTAGAAGTGAGAGTAGATAAACTCAAAGAGAGCACTGCTTTGGGTGAAAAATTTGTCCTTAAATTATGACTGCATTCTTTCCAGAACAGGAGTTGGTATTTAACACTTGGAGCCAAACTTACACTATGACACAGAAATACCTTAAATCAGAACAGGTAAAAATATGGCATTTCCAGATGCTGCAAAATTCATTCTAGGTTAGAGGAACTCTTAGCACCTGGAATGTCCTGCAAGCTTCTTTGCAAAGCTGTTTCCAACTTAGAAAAGATTACATTAAAGTAGGAATGAAAAAGGGAGTTCCCATAGTTAGCCAACAGACAGAGGCAGAAAAAAAAAAAATTCATAAAAGAAAACCAATCTCTCTTTCAATAAAGGGTATTTACTGCCAATTCCAAGGAGATTCCTAAGGAATTTCTCTTTGAGGGAAATTTCAATGACACTAGTAAAACACAATGATAGAAAATATCAGCACAGAATTGAAAGCAAAAGAGGTCTTTGTATCCTTGATCTCATAAACTATATTCAAGCAAAATGTCATCACCACACACACACTATATAAAATGGCGTGCTTACAACTAAGAAGAAAAAAATGTCAGACACTCATGGATTTGTCTTGTTGCTTTTCCAGCATCTAAACATTTAACAGCTTTCCAGTGTGGGGAATCAATACAGAAACACAATATCTTGTTTTCTAGGGTATACTCATTGATTGTTATTTGAAGCTAATAAAATAAAAACTGATGATACATGGCCTACTTGAAAGTTCAGACTTTTTATTTTAAAATTACCCAAGCCTTGTTTCCAAAAACAATGATCATAATTATTTGAAGTCGGCAGCACAAGAAGGAGCCTTTTGTTAAGGACTTAGCTTCTCAACAAGAAAGAGCAAGTTGTGTTTGATGGTTACCGAATCAATCAAAGGGACACTTTCACCTGGATAGAAATGCAGAAAAAGATACAATCGAGGTGCTCCAGCAAATGACTGGAGATGCCTAGTCAAAGGTGATCTTTAATCTAGAATCCTGACCCCCATTCCCACTAGCATAGGGCATTCACAACTAGAAAAATGCAACAGCATTCAGCAACCTTATGACTACAGTACATTTTCTCCATTTTAAAAATGTTTGCACCTTCTCCTTTATTAAGTAGTATATGTGCACAAGAAAAATGCTTAAAAATATATTTTAATCAATATAATGGAGGAAGAGGGAAATGTAGCTCTATGAAAATACCCCATTCCCTATTAGTAGCATGTCATTCTATTTATCTTTTCATGCTAGTAAGTTGTTTTGTTCTCACTGATTAACGAAAATAGCAAAATATTCTTGCATAGCTTGTTTATTTAGATATTCTCAATGTTATTCTTTTTTTCTGTAAAAACATTACATCTATTTGGTAATGGCAATTTGGCTCTAAGGAGGAATGAATCACTCTAAAGAAACTGATCCTAAATTTCCCTTCACATAGAGCGTCTTGTTGTCCAAACAGGTTTTGGTTTACAATTTTCATTTTTGAAAATGATGCAAATTTTTCTGCAGAGCACTTAGGCAATATAAATGGAAAGCTTTTACATTTTGCCTACCCAGCAATTCCACTTCTAAGAGTTTATCCTAGGAAATAATCATTAATGTGCACAAAGATTGTTCATCACAACATTGTTTCTAATGGAAAACTGGAAATAGCCCAATGTCCAATCATAGATTGGTTAACATGCTGTAAGTTCATTCGCAGGGTACAATTCCATGCAGTCATTAAATCATGTAGTGGAAAGGTACTGAATGATCTGGAGGAAATAAATGTACTGTGCACCTATCAATAGGTTTATAAGTTTATAAAAAGTATGCTTTAATATTCATTTTTAAAAGCACTTATATGTACAGAGAAAGATTGGAATAAGCACCAAATATTGTAGACTCCCGTTATCAGTAGTTTCACTTTCTGTGATTTCAGTTGTCCACAGTCAACTGCAGTCTGAAGATATTAAATGGAAAATTCCAGAAATGAATAATTCATAGTTTTAAAGGGCATGCCATTCTGAGTAGTGTGATGAGATCTTGTTACTGTCCTGCTCCTTCCAACCCAGGATGTGTGAATCATCCCTTTGTCCAGCATATCTGCACTGTAGATGCTACCCGCCCATCAGTTACTTTGTGGCCATATGGGTTATCACAGCTATCACAGTGCTGTCATAATTATCACAGTACTTGTGTTCAAGAAACCCTTATTTTATTTCATAATGGCGAAGTGCAAGAGCAGTGATGCTGGCAATTTGCATATGCCAAAGAGAAACCGTAAGGTGCTTCCATTAAATGAAAAGGTGAAATTTCTCAACTTAATAAAGACAGAATTGTACACCAAGTCTGCTAAGATCTATAGTACGAATGAATCATGTGATATTGTGAAGAAGGAAAAGAAAGTTGTTTTGCCACTGTACCTCAAAACTGCAAGAGTTATAGCTAGAATGCATAGCAAGTGGAATGACAAGGAGGAGCCATATTCATATGACTTTTATGACATATTGTTATAACTATTTCATTATTAGTTCTATTAATGTTCTATTTCATTATTATTATTAATCTCTTACTGTGCCTAATTTGTAAATTAAACTTTATCATAAGCACATATGAAAAAAATATTGTATATATAGGGTTCAGTATTCTCCATCATTTCAAGCATCCACTGGAGGTTTTGGAACATCCCTTAAGGATAAGCAGGGACCACTCCATCAGTGGTGTTTATTTCTGGGTGGCAAGTTTACAGGCAATTTTTTCTATTATTTATCTGTATTTCCAAAGTTTCCTGTCATGTACATGCAATAACTGTTTTTTCTAACAGATAATGATGCTAGAGGGAAGAATTCTGTTCTATAAACTGCCTGAAGCAAGTTCATGGGGAAATGCATTGGTGGAGCCAAATACCGACAGCATAGACAAAAGTAGAATATATCATATGAGGTGCTGTCAGCCTGCAGATCTATCAGATGTAACTTTCACATACTCTTGTGAAAGTTAGTGTGTTCTATTTACAGTGTGCCTGCTATAGTACATTTACCTTATTAACTATATTTTAATCTAATATCTGCCTAACATCCAAACCAGAGGCAGGACCTGATGTTTTGGCTTAGCATTAAGAAGAACCATAAATACTACCCTTTAGGAGAAATTATTTATGCTGCTTGCCCCATGAGCACCTTCTCTTTCATTTCCACCTCACCCCACAAAAAAAGGGTGAGGTTTGGTTATTGTTTCTTGTTATAATTTTTAAACTTAATATTTTGATATAATTATAGGTTCCCAGAAATTTACAAAAAATAGCACATAGAGTCCTGTACATGTTTCACTCAGCTTCTCCTAATGACATTTTATTTAACTGTAGCATAATATCAAAAAGCAAGAAACTGACATTGATAGAGTACTATTAGGTAAACTACAGACCTTGCTCATTTTCACCATGTTTTACAATCAAGTACACATGTCTATGCAATTTTATCCGATAACTACATTTATGTAACCACCACTACCAAGATGCAGAACTGTTCCATTACCACAGAGGAACTCCCTGGTGCTACCCTTTATATTTGTAGCTTCCCTGTCCTTCCTCATACATGTCCCCTGGTGATCACTAATCTGTTCTGTACAGTTTTATCTGCCAGGTATGACTTCATGCTTTTATCACTACGGAAATGGATAAAATGATAAAATGAATACAGTGGCTGCCAGTAGTGATTGAAAATGGTGGCAATAAGAACAAATCATCTGCTTTCTAATACTGCCTGTAATTTATTCAGAAATTTTATTTTGAGAAAGCAACTCAAAATCATTCTAAGTTAGGTCTGATTTTGTGTGAACACACTGACTCTGCAGTGCCCTTCTGACTGTTGTACATGGCATTTAGCTACATTATTAGCTCTTATGAATTAGAATCCAAAGAGGAAACAAAAGGAAAGGAAATAATGAGATATCACATAATTCCATTACTCATTGCAGAAACAAGGAATGCTAAGTAAATGTTTCTCACTTAGACAAAGCTGAACTGCTAGCATCAATTTTTATTCCACCTCTTTGCCATCTTATGTTTTATAGAAGTGTTCTGAAAGGAGAAGAAATTTCCCCAAACATTTTAGGCACGCAAAATCAAATTGTCATGAAAGCCTTTCATTAAAAGTTATAATCCTGAACTTCACACAAATGGAAACAGAGAGGATGTACTCC